CTCCTCACTGACACCCACATTCAGGAGGTCTGGATCAGCCCCATGCTGGCCTCCAGCCATCAGTCTGGGATCCAAGAGCTCCCCCCTTGTTCAGGTCAGCTGTTTCTGTGTGTTAAACAAGCCCAGTCTTGACCCCTTTGCTCATCACTCCTCCCTCTCTGTCACTGGATTCCAGGAGTTCCGATCAGTGTTTAGCTGTGGGTGTTTGCCTCTGCTTCCATCAGTCATTGGTTGAAGGTTCTAGGATGGCAGATAAGGAAGTCTTCAAACTCATTATCAAGGAGGGGCATTAAAGGTAGTCTCTCTGCTATTGCTTAGCTTGCCAGTTGGTGTCATCCTTGCAGACCTCTGGAAATCTCACTAGTGCCAGATCTCTCCTCAAACCTATAATGACTCCCTCTATTATGGCATTTCTCATCCTGTTCTCCTCTGTTCTTCCCCTGACTCTACCTTCCTGGTCCCCCATGTCCTCCCCTACCCTCCTCTTCTCCCCCTCTTTTTCCCCCAGCTCCCTGTCCCTTCCCCATGCTCCCAATATGCTCAGGAGATCCTGTCACCTTCCCCTCCCCTAGGGTAACATGCATATCTCTCTTAATTCTATTTTCATATATTCCATCCTGACAACAGTTTCCACTACTCCCACCTCCTATTCCCCCACAATTTCCCTTCAAAAAAGAGCATGCCTCCTAGGGATATCAACTGAAATGATAGGCACAGCAAATTGAATAAGACTAGGCACAAATAGTCATATAAAGGCTGGATGAGACAAAGGAGGAAAAGGATCCCAAGATTAGGCAAAAGAGTCAGATACAACCCTGACTCCCACTGTTAGGAGTCCCACAAGAACATAAACCTACACAACATATATGCAGAGGGCCTAGCTCAGACTCAGGCAGGCTCCATGACTGCCACTTCAGTGTCTGTGAACTGCTATGGACCCTGCTTAGTTGACTGTGTGAGTCGTGTTCTCATGGTGCTCTCAACCACTCTGGCTACTACAATCCTTCCTCCCCATCTGTCTCAGAGTTCCCTGAGCACCACCTAATGTTTGGGTATGGTTTAGGTCTCTGCATCTGCTCCCATCAGTTGCTGGATGATGCCCTTCTGATACTAGTTGGGTTAGGCTCCAGTCTATGACTATAGCAGAATAACATTAGGAATTATTTCAATTACTTTTTTGCCACTTGTGGTTGGTTTTATCCTAGGTCTCTGGGCTATACAGCCTCTAGTCCTTGACCCTGCAGGCAGTGTCACGGTTGTTCTCCTTGTCAGATAGCATGGTCCTTCATTTGGCCTCTCCAAGCTCTGTGGTACCTTTACCCCCAGAACATCTTGAAGGCAGGACAAATTGTAGTTCTAATGTTTTGTAGCTGGGTTGATATCCCAGTGCCATCACTGGAAGATTTATCTAGTTACAGAAGATGGCCATTTCAGGCTCTGTATCTCCCACTACTGGAAATCCATACTAAAATCACCCTCATGGATTCCAGGGTATTTCCAATGCACTGGAGTTTCCACATGGTCCCCAAAATGCCTCCCAGTTCCAGTTGTCCCTCCCAGTACTCTCTCCTTTCATCCATCATTCCCCTCCCTGGTCCTTCCTGTTCCTATCCTCACTTGCCCCCAGTTCACCCTTGAAATCTATTCTATGCATTCTTCAAACTTGAAAAGTTGCCTTAAGATCTGAATGTCACCAAATGTCTATTTCTGCTAGGCTCTCAACAAAATGGACATTGTAAAACTGTTTGAACATTCCATCCCCCATGTGACAGTGAGACAGGCAGAAAACTAGGCTCCAGAACCATGACAGTATATAGGACCAGTATAAAAACATGTTTTGAGCCAGAAAAAAAGAGGAAATGAAAGAAAGTCACTATCGTTCTGAAGAAGCCACCAGGGCAGGCACGTCTCATAGTTATCTGCTTCTAAACTTTCTTAAACGGAATAAGAAGGTTTCCAGCCTAGACTAGTGTCTCAAATAGCCAGTGTCTTCATAAACTGCACCTCTTGCTCCTTGAATTCCCTTCAACCACTCATTGAAACTTCTTTCTATTAAGTAAAATGAAATAATAATTCTGTGTGGCAGTTCAAAACAAAGAACTTAAGATGTAAACGCATGGTTAAGATAAGACTCTGGGATAAACAGATTTGTTCCCATATAATCCTTATATAAATACAAATAACTAAGCACATATCCTTTTCATCCTACTTCTTGTAATTAGAACGAAGACAAAGAAGAAACAGCTCCATGCAGTGCACATTTGCTGAGCTTGTAACAGGTACTAAGTTAGTGATCTGCTTGTATGACTGTGACCTTTACTGAGAATTACAGTTCGTATTTCAGCCTCTGTGTAAGTACATATGTATGAGTAGAGCGCTGTTACATAATTAAGCTTATTCTTTCTAAATAAGACACACTGATGCCTTCTAGTCTATTGTAGATTGTTACATAGCCACAAAAATGTTAGTTCTGGACCATTTAGTTTCACTCACCACTAATAGGTTGTGCATGGTTTGAAATGATGCATGGTGCTGTTCTCTTGCCTCAAAATGTGGTCTATGGAACAGTATACCCAGCATCAGAGCTGTAGCAAATGTAGACTCTTAGGCCATGCTTTATGCCTATTGGAAAAGAATCTGAATTTTAATAGTACCTCTAGATGTCCCTTGTGTATTTCCAGTGCTAGAAGCCTTGTGATGAATGTATGACTGCTGATGTCTTTCAGGTCTTGCCTCAGACAGATTCTTACAAAGTGGTCTAATCTTAGGGCTTTATTTTTGTTGTTTGCTTTTACAATATGCATACTTTAGCCTCAAATTATGCCATTAATTCAGTATCTCCAAGAAAAACAAATAAATAAATGAACAAATAAAATCTATCATAGTTTCTGAGGCCAACCTTACTTAAGAACCCTTGGTCTATGGGGTTAAACAGAAGTGAGCTCATTTAATTGCTAATATGTTGTAAAGGTGAAACAGGTATTTCAGGTTCAAAGGAAATATTTTCTTTTAGCTTTCTTGTGGATGACTTCATGTACAGCAATTTATTTCCCGTGTATTTAGTGACAGGGCACTGCTATTTATTTTTCTGAATTACTTCTCCTTGTGAGAAAAACTCCAAACATGTCTCTTCTACCAAAACACTGCCCTTTTGTGGAGTATAAATAGTGTGGCTTTGGGTAAGAATGCCATGGCCAGTCTTGCTAAATTAGTGAAATTTCCCTCCCCTTTCCTGTTTAGATCCCTAACCCAGGATCTCAGCTGCTGGAGGAGATGGGCCTGCCCTTGAGTGCTATCACCCATCATTAAGCACCTTCCCTTCCTGGGGATGTGTTTCCTGGGTGATGGAAAACTGTAGCCTGGGAGTTGCTAATCCTGCTAACACTAAAAGGTTCACTCCTGTTAGCAGCATCTGTGTTGCATTAATAATAAGAAAGTAATAAAGAGAGCAGCCTCAGCTCTCAGTCTCCCCTGAGGTAAGGCCTCAGCTTCTCTCCCATCCCCCTGGTCCACTCTAATGGTCTTGCTGTACTGGAGCGGTAGGGTAGATTGGTGAAGTACTGCCTGTTCTGTCAGAGTTAAATTCCTTCTCAGAGGGAATTTTCCCCTAACATATCTAGGTTAAATGAAATACCATCAATACTTTTAGCTCTTAAAGCGACCCATTTAATTCATAACTTAAACTCAAGTTAAGACTACTAGACACAGGGAAAGAAGAAAGAAAGCATTAAGATATACAATCAGACACAAGGAAACTTGATTATTTCAGAAAAAGTATATTCTCCATTTCCCTGTCAGAGCTATGAATTAGAACTCTCCTTTTGGGCCCTTTGTGTTTGTTTTTTATTCACCAAATCATTTTTTGTTCACAGCAACAAATTAAAATCAAGAAAGATAATTACTTTTGTAAATACTGAAAATTCACTAATAGGCAAAGAAGAAGTTTGGATGTAACAGGCCAAGAGTGTTTGGTAATTAATTATTTTTATAGAATGTTTGTGTGGTCCACGGAGGAGTTACAGCACTTTCCTGTTGAAATCATGTGATCTCTAGCAGATGGGTTCTTTGAAGATACTTTGGTGTCTTGAAAAGTGTGCATTCTGTGCCTGGAAAATGATTGTCTTTGCAGTGGTTAGATTGTTAAAGTTTTTCACTTTCCACTAAAGCTACTTCACTGAGTACACAATTTCCAGCTCCCACATCAGATGGCTCATCTGTAACTGTAGTTCTAGGTGACCTGATACCCTCTTTTGGCTGCTGTGGGCACTCCAACAAACACACACACACACACACACACACACACAAAATAAGACTTTAAAATTCAAAATCACTTCTAAATCTTTATAACAACATGCTTGTAAGTATGTAACAGGACAAGGGAGAAAAGGAACCATCTAAAAAGACTACTTATCAAGTGTTTCTGAGATTGCAATCCTTTGAATGAGAAACTGGGAACTTTAGGAATAAGAAGATACAAAATTCTTTTCATAATCACTGGATTTTCCTCCAAGCATAGACCACTCTAAATCCCATTTAAAGAAATAGCTATTTTATGTAAGCTATTTATTAGCAAAGTAATTTTCTTTTTTTTTTTTTTTTGGTTTTTACGAGACAGGGTTTCTCTATATTGTTTTGGAGGCTGTCGGTCCAGCCTGGCCTTGAACTCACAGAGATCCGCCTGCCTCTGCCTCCCGAGTGCTGGGATTAAAGGCATGCGCCACCGCCGCCAGGCGCAAAGTAATTTTCAAAACCCCTATATGCTCTCTTGTTTGTGGCTGTGCCACATATAAAAAGGTAGAAGCCTTTACTCTATTCCGGTGACTGCCACAGTACTGCAGTCTTAAAACTGGGGAAGAAATGAGAAAAATGTACCACTTTCATGAGTACAGTAGCGAGTGACCCCATTGGGAAGCAGCAGCTTTGGCAGAGAATTCTCCCAGCATTGTTTACACTGTACACATCTGTCTGCATGTCCTTCATGTGTGGTTTCTGTCCCACAGTCCATGAAGGCTCTGGAGAAAGCAGTCAGAAGGAAACCTCTACCTGTGACATTTGCCAGTTTGGTGCAGAGTGTGACGAAGATGCTGAGGACGTCTGGTAAGACGCGGTTGTGTTTTCTTAAAATGATGTCAGAGATTAATCGTTATTTCTATTCACTAGCTCTTGTTTCAAAGAAAACATTGTCGGTATTTTTATTTTCTTCTGACTTCTGAAGGCGGTAAGGACAAAGTGTTGTAAAGTTTCTGGAGTTGTGAGGTGAGTCAGGCAAGCAGATATCTGTATCTGCATAGGAAACACAATACCATCAGTGATGACCCAAATCAGCCTTACCAGACAGAAAGGGTAATCATATTCACTAGAATATCTCTGTTAAAAAATGTCATCTGGGAACAGATGGCTTCTAAGTTTCTTTAGGTTTCAATAACAAAAGAAGACAGATAATGGATGTCTGAAAACAACAGAAACACAAGTTACCCCTTCTTGAGCCTAGGAAGTTCAATATCCATCCTGGAGAAGAACTGCTGTCAGCTTCCTATGGAAAGCATTGACCTTGCTGTAGCCTAAAATACAAGGAGCAAGGGACATCTCTGATCTTCTTTCATAGAAGTCTTTTTTTATCATTTTTTATTTTAATTTTAAATAGCTTGTTTTACATGTCAATCCCAGTTCACTCTCCCTCCCCTCCTCCCGCACTCCCCTTCCCCCCTCCCTCCCACCCTATTGCCAAATCCTTCCACATAGGGGATATCTAGGGTCTGTCATTTTACTCTTGGTAGGGTCAAGGCACTCCCCCTAAGAGTCCAGGCTGAGAGAGCATCTCTCTTTGTGCTATAGGCACATGAAGACAGTTTGTATACCAGGGTTGAATTGATGATGATTCAGTATTTATGACATAATCACCTTTCCCAAACAATATCTTCTAATGCAATTCAGTGTCAAGAATTTGAACATATGCATTGACAGAATGTTCAAATATCAGCAATTATAATCACAGTTTCTAGTGGGTCTGAGGGAGGAAGGGAAATGGAGAGATGGAAGGATGGAGGAATGGAGGGAGAGAGTAGACAGGGAAAAGAGGGAGAGAAAATAAGAGAGAAAGGGAGAGGGAGAAAGAGATGTAGAAAGACAGGGAGAAGGATGGAGGGTCTGAGCTGAGATTTAAGAGAGAACATGTGTGAATACCCACAGCCAAGCTGCCAAGACACTTAAGTCCAATACAAACACACACACGCACACACACACACACACACACACACACACACACACACACACACACACACCCTCTGAGCTACCATCCAGCATTAGGCTTTACTTTTCTCTACAGAATATAAAGATATGATGAACAATGATAATCTGCATTACTTTGAACAGGTGTCAAATATTTAGCCTTCTGAAACATATGTGTGTATTGGTCCTGGTCTGGTCATTTGGCAAAGTGCATAAAGCAAAGGTCACAGAGTCGGGGGAGTCTTGAGAGGGAGGAAGTAGTCTTTTCTCTTCCCTCTTCTTCTGTTTTCTCCTCCCCCTTTTCCTCCCTCTGTAAAGAGAAGCTTTTTCTTTGAGAGAAGCCTTCCCGCCAACTGGGTTCTAGAGCCGCATCAGTCCCAAATAAACACAGAGGAGGCTATATTAATTATGAAGCTGTTGGCCTTGTTTGTTTCTTACTGGCTAGCTCTGACTTAAGTAATTACCCCATAATTGTTAATCTAAGTATGTCTCTTACCAGAGAATAGTTCCGGGCTTCCTACCCCATGGCGGTTACATCTCGAACTCCTGTGTTTCTCCTTCCCAGAGTCCTCCTGGACTCCTAGTCCCTCCTATCTAGGTTTCCTATTGGCTCAACAGTACTTTATTGACAAATGCACAGGACTTCCCCCAACATCCCTCCATCCTTCTCCCTGACTCCTCTATCTCTTTCTCCCTCTCCCTTTCTCTCTTCTTTTTTCTCCATCTTCTCACTGTCTGCTCTCTCCCTCTATTCCTCCCTCCTTTCCTCTATCCAACTCCCTTCCTCCCTCTTTTGTTTCATTTTTACAAACACTTCATGAAAACAGAAAACCATTTGTTTTCTTCAATATTTGCCAAATGATATTAACATTCATTTTGATAAAGCTTCTATGAGTAGAAGGATTTCGTCTAAAGAAAAGGAACACTTTTTAAATAAAAACACAACAGATAAATTTGGCAGAAGTGAAACATTAGGGACATATAATATATTTAATGCAGAATATGGTAAAGGTGCCATCCAATCAAACTGGAACACCTACATGTGAACACTGCCAGTAAGTAGAATAACCATCTATTCATAAAAGGAGACATCAACAGGCTGTTCAGATATCAAACATCTTCAGCGACTGGACAACTGGGAGTGCACTCGTGGTACATGCCCTAGGTGAAGCATCCTGAGGAAAATGGATGTATACTTTCTAAAGAGCATCCTGAACATCCTGATGTTGATAAATTTATAGTCCCAAATCTGTGAGATCACCAGAATTTCTTTTGAGATTCTTTCAACTCCAAACCTAATGAGTCAAAATTTCAGTGAAGTGGGACTTAATTTTTTTCTGAAACTTCTTAAATGATTATAGAAAAGATACTTTAAAAGAAATGACTGACTAAAAGAATCATTGACTTAATTTCTAGCTTTCCATCAGTTTTCAAGCAGACAATAGTTCTCCCTTTTAAAAACTATAGACACAGAGGATGGCTGGAGAGATGGGTAAGCAGCTAAAAATATATATATATATATATTGCTCTTGCAGAAGGTTTTAAAAGAACTTTCTTCCATTTTTTCATCTTTATTATGGTCAGTTTTAGCTAACAGTTGCATTTTCCAAGTACAGAATTTAAGACATGGCATTATACCATTACCTAAAATGTTTAGGTTGCATACTATGTGTTTTATCATGTGGATACACTTTTCTTGTTTTTTCATAGTCACACAGATTATTTTATTTTACTAAGAAGAAATGAATTTTTAAGCGTTTAAGTGGCTTATGAGTTGAAAGTAGGGGGAAGTGTTGGCATTACAATTCAACTAAAGATGTGATTAAAATATTTCTTTGCTGCCCTGCCTAGAATAATGAAATTGTCAGGTTGTAGGCAATGCATACATAGTGACTCCTAAGGACGGTGGGTTAGAGCTGATGGTTCAGAAAATACTTACAGTAGTCAGTGGGAAAACATCCAAGACAGTGGAGTGCTTATTCTTGGATATTGCAAAACCTCACATCCATGGTATAAATGTAGCTCAAGGATTTTCATGTCAGGCTAGTGGCATCAGCAGTTTTCCATTGGGTCCCAGCATGACAAATTGACTTCAGAGATAGCTTTGTTATGAAAGAAACAGGGAGGAAGGCAGAGCGTCCAGGAATTGAGTATCAAGCAGGAAAATGAATTAGGGACTAAACCAGGTCTACTTAGTTTACCCACCTTAGATGACCAAACCATGGTGACCACAGGTAGACAGAACATAGCCTAAACTGGGGTAATAAATTGCAAGGTCAAAATGAAATCAACGCAAAGGCTGACTGGATGCTGGATCAGTTAGCTTTTGGCTAGGACATCTTGTATGTCCCAGCCTAGAGACAAGATCAGTTCCAAAATTCAGAATAAACCTGAACCTCCAGATAGGGACTAAGTGACCATAGCTGTGGAGATTAGAGACTGCAGGGGCAGTGATCCAAGAACATCATTATACTTCCCAGACAGACTGAAAGTTGTTAATGTTCAAATAGAATGTATTCTAAATGTCCAAGGTAAGCAATAAAGAACTATGCTGACACCAGTACATTGATTTTCATTTACCTAAATACTTTTCTATGTTAACATATTGTGTTTGTTTTGCCCAGGAAGTGGATTGGAAACAGCTAAAGGACATGAGCATAAAGCAATAAATGAAGTTAAATAGGCATGCAATGGGAGAAACAATAAAGTAAGATAGTTAGCACTCAGGGAGTGATCTGACCATACTGATGTACAGAGTCCTCGTGACAACAGGGGAGCCTTGACACTACGATTTGGGATGAAACTATGGCTAGATCCCCTTGCAAACATAAAATTCTTCATGGGCTATGTAGTAATAAAGAATACAGCATGATATTTTTAATATGTTTTCCTTTAAAACACAATTTTATGTATGCAAATTTCTTTTTCCATGACTTTATGAAATAATAACTAGGTCTAAATACCAATGACAAATGCTATTATTATTACTAGCCCTGGTATACCCACAAACAAAAGTACAAAATTAATCCTGATCTTTTTAAACCTAGCCTAACATATAAATGTTTTTATTCTGCCATGGGGTTGAGTCTAGTTCCTCATAGATCTCCCATGAAGAAGATAAATACTTTTAGCATCCATAAGCCAGGGCACACTTAGGGGATCACATCTCCATAGTTAGAGGAGGTTTTGAGTTAAGGAGAAAGAAACACTGCAAATGAGGAATTAACAAAATTAAAGAAATGGGTGGAAAGGCAGAGTAAGAGGTCAGAAATAATAATTAGAAGACGGTGTGATGCTAATCACATGATGTTTAACACATATGTTCTAAGGGAACAGATGGTTTTTAATCTAATGGAAGTGAAAGTGTTATGTACTGTGGTTTTATTTTGAGGGTCTTCTCCTGCCTCTCTCTTTTCATGAAAACATCAAGACTACAAAAATTAGAAAATGATCAGTTTTCTCAATATGAAAACCAGAACTTTGCTACAAAAATGTCTTCATCTCTGAGTATTTACCTCTGTGTAAGGAAGGATTTGACTTCCAAAATGAACAGTCAAACTTCAAGTAAGATGTCCACTTTGCAGAATACCAACTTCTGGAATAGAGGTGTCCTTTATTATAGACTGTCCACATTGCAGACTACCCACCACTGGAATAGAGGTGTCCTTCACTGATGACAGACTTCAGTTCAAGGAGTCCTGCAATGAGGTGGGAGGAAGGATTGGAGGAACCAGAGGGGTCAGGGACACAATGAGAACATGGCCCACAGAATCAACTGATTTGGGACACATGGGGTCTCAAAGAGATCAGGGAGCCAGTAGGGGTCTGACCTATGTCCTCTGCATATAGGCTGTGGCTGAGTAGCTTCG